GGTACCCGACCCAGGCGGGTAGTATGCTCAACCCTAAGTCAAATTATGACTCGACTCGGGTGCGACTCGGTGCAAATTCCCAGACCGAGTCGAGCAAAACTCGAAACTCGGTCGACTCGACCCGACTCGACTTTGGCCGAGTCAGATGAGTCAATAAGGAAACTCGACTCGCCCTTTAGGGCGAGTCGAGTCACCGAGTCGAGTTTTGACTCGACTCGGTTGCTCATGCCTAGCCGCGCGACTCGCCAGCGGAGGTCAAACTTCAACCCCTTCGGAAATCGAGAACCACTTTTTGGTTCTCGATTTCCAGCTAGACATGATCAAAACGCGATTGCGATTTAAATCGCATCGCATGCAGGTGCGATGTTTAAAAAAGCGATGCGATTTTAAATCGCATCGCGCGATTTATTTTTCAAAAAAAAAAAATCGCACATCGCATTTTACCCGCGATGTATTAATAAATCGCATGCGATATTTAATTAAATCGCAAAATGCGATGTTAAATCGCATCGCGTTTTAAAACAGAATAAAAAAACACCCCAAAAAAACAGAAAAAAACCATGGCTGCGGGGAAATTGACTCACGGGCAGTCGTAAGCTAGAGTGCAAATAACCAGTGAGGTTTCGTAGTGGGTTTCAGAGTGGGTTTCAGTGCTATCGCGCGCGATTTTTTAAAAATCGCATATCGCATTTAAATCGCGTTTTTTAAGCGCGATTAAAATGCGATTTAAATTAAATCGCGCGATATTAATTCATCGCATCGCGCGATGATTAAAAAAAAAAAAAAAACATCGCCATCGCAAAAACGCGATTAAATGCGATGCGATGCGATGCGATGCGATTTTTTTTGCCCATGTCTATTTCCAGCATACCTTAGCGAATCCCACGCCCACCTCTTCCTCGGAGCATGCCTAACCGCCGTACATCTTGCTGCTTATGTTATTTAAACGTTTCTTCCTTTTTCTAAGGTGATTAGGATTTAAAAACTCACCTTGTTAAAGTAGACCAGCACTGGCGTCTAGGCTTTACAAGCAAGCATTGCACCCACGTCATACTCTTTCCTATCGCTATCCTCCACACACACAGGATGCCTTTCCCCTTGGATTAGTGTATTTGGCGCTTATCGGCGGGTTTTGGAGGGATAAGGCGAAATTAGGGTTATTGCTGCACATGCAGGAAAGACAAGTGGGCCATCTGTGTACCCAAGAACATCTAAAATGGGCGACTTATTACTTCCTTGATGCTCGTAACGTAACACCTCTTCCCCTAGGTCGAGCCGAGCCGAGCCGAGCCGGAAGTTGAGCCAAGGGCTGGCTCGACCCCAAAAGGTCGAGCCAAGCCGGCAAATTTCCAGCAACCGGCTTGGGTCAAGTCGAGCAGGCTCGGCTCGATTTTTCGCCAGGCTCGAAGTCGAGCTGAGTCGAGCCGAGCCCTCGGTGTTAAGCCCATGTCTGGCATGGTATAGCAATAACTAGCTTCTCGTGTATAAAGCTCCTCGTTGCTGTCCCTTGTTTCTTGTCACTAGGCTCCTGCAACTGGCTACTGGCAAGGAGTCGTTCCAGTAAGCCTGTGAGGGACAGCCGCTGTACAACGCGCTACCTGCCCTGCCCAGCAATGCTCGCCCCTCGCTCACAAGGGCCCCACTGCACATCATAGAACCAGTGTAGCTTGTGTTACAGTGCATCTTACAGATACGTGAGGCTGTGAAGAGAGAAGAGGGCAGATGGCAGAGAGCCTGTCAACTGACAGGCACCAAGAACGCTGCACACAGCCGCACGCACAGGCAAAGGCACATGCAAAGGCAAAGGCACAGGCACAGGCAAAGGCACACGCAGACACACGCAAAGGCACAGGCAATGGCACAGGCAAAGGCACAGGCAAAGGCTTAGGCAAAAGTAAAGGCACAGGCACAGGCACAGACACAGGCACATGCACACAAAGAGCACAGCACACATGTTGAGAGCGCTGGATGTTGAGTGGTGCATGGAGGAGGTTGACGCAGGGTAAAATCTCCAGGCCAGTAGCCAATGCACAGAGGCATAGAGACAGTGGCTTGGAGAAATACGGCACAAAATGGGTGAGAGACAAGCCGGAGAACGATGTGAGAGAAAGAGGTGCCGGCACGCACGGGAGGGGAGTGGTCTCACAGGAACTCAAGGCTCTGCAGGCCGCTGAGTGCGTCGGGGATAGGCTTCGCCAGAGGCTGCTGCGTGAGGAGTCTGAAAGTGACCAGACACAAGGCGATGCGCACGGGACAAGACCAGGGGGTAGTGCAGGAAGGCAGTGGTGGCTGAGTGGGGAAAGAACTCGGAGGTACCAGCACGCATGGGGCAGGCTAAAATGACACGTACACACAATTATGACATGAGGCAGGCTGTTATGACATGAGGCTGTTGTCAAAACATGATCTAACAGTTCCCTACCTTGATCCAAAAGTGCCCTACCTTAGCCATGAGCGAACGAGTCGAGTTTCGACTCCTCGGCACAGCTCAGCGTGCAGCCATAAAATACTGCAGTGGACTACTGCTAGCAAGTGAAGGCGCAAGAGAGCTCACAGATGGGTGACAAAGCCATCGGAGCTGCACTTGATGCCCAGCAGCTGCGTGCAGTCGCCCATGGTGAGCCACGAGCTGCTGCCAGGGAACGACCCCCACTCGTCCAGCATAGCCTTCAGCACCAGCTCTGCACGCGAGGCAACAACAGGGTGGTGTGTATGCAGGAGAGGGGGGGAGCGAGAGCGCGAAAGCGGAGGTTGGGGTGGAGGGGGGAGAGAGAGACGGTTAGGAGGATGAATGACGAAAGCCATGTACAGTGCACAGTAGATGTGCGCAGCGCGCAACTGGGAGAAGGTGCAGACGTGTGGAGCATTAAGTGAGACAACACAGAGAAGAAGTAGGAGATATACATCGCAAAAAAGGTGTGCTCGCAAAACGTTCGCGAATTATCTGTGCGGATGCTTTGCAAACGTTTTGCGAACAAGTGGGTGTAAATACCGTGCGGACTAAGATTCGAACACTTTGCGAATGCTTGGACAACATTTGCCAAAACACTCCGCGCGAGCATTCGGAAACGATGGGCGGTGTTGTCTCGAATGCAATATAGTGTTTCGTCAAATGCATTGCAATGCATATTTTGATGCTGCTTTGGATTTGTATGAAAATGATTTTGCATTCTTGCCATCCATTCTTTTTGTTCTGTTGACCATTGGTGTATCAAATGATGTTATTCATAAAAGTAAATGTACCACTATTACAAACGATATACACAATTTCTACCAGTGGTTACCAACCTAATTACCTAGAAATATGCAAGCCCCCAACAACCTAATAACGTATGCAGCATGCCCGTCCCGCACTACCACGAACAGAAACAGAGCGGCGGCACACCAACGACGTTGCCGACAACGTAAATTCTTGACGCCGACTTGCTATTCCTGCATGTGAAGTAAGAATTCATTTCAAAGTAAGCCCAATGTCCAAATTACCAACATAATAACAATTCTTACTATGGGAAAGTAGCGCGGCCTTGGTAATAAATTCCTGCGCATCAGGTTCAACCATTTGTTAAATTCCAAACAACCAGACTTTCAACACGAGGCTTACGAGGGGTGCCTCGAGGTTGGCTACAAATCTCTGCACGTCAGCTTAGACATTGTCGTGAAATTAGTCCGACGAATAAACGATTGGCGAGACTAAGAGACGTGCTTACCGGAAGAATAATATTTATGCTGGACTGAGTTACATGGCTAGCTGCGATAAAGACGAGCATCGTGAGCACACAGGCAAAACATAGTTAGATAGAAACTCCAGTTAACAAATGCCTTCAACCCCGAAGACGTATTAGCTCATGAACCTGCCAATAAGAAGGACAATTGTGAACAACAATAGCCACTTACAAGCTAATTAGTACCAGAAGATTAAAACGATAGAAATAACAGCTATCGCGAAATGACATACTCATGTTATCGTAAACCAAGAACGACCATGGTAACTGGTTAAAGTCTGGCAGAGGAAGAAGCTAATCACTAAGGGGGTGGGAAGGCAAGAGGGGGGGCTGAAACTGATACAGATTGAACTGCCGATGAATAATACTGTAAGAAAAGTCTAGCTGAAAGACATCAGTGGGCGCAAGGGGGCAGATAAGGAAGGATCAGAAGTCTGTGCTGGCAAGGATTGCTGGCATGTGAAGTGTGCAACGTGGTGGGCTGGGTGGTTGGGGCGAGCAGGGGGTTGAGCTGGATTTAGCCGTGCTGGAATCGCTCGGCCGATTTCGATTGGTTGGGCGAGGTGCATGGGCTGAGTTGGTTAGGGAAATTGGGTTGGGATTGGTTGGAACAAAGTGCAGGTATGGTAGGGGGTGGGAGTGTGGTTGGGGCGTGTTTCTATATGCACGACATGTTGTGAATCGGGGCGTGTTTCCATGTACACAAATATTAAGCAAATATTTCTGGATTTCAGGTTACGCGCGCGCTAGAATACGCTGTAATTTGCGATTCAATTTGGTTCAGTTCGGTATCTCAAAATTTTGTCCAGCTGGATTCGGAACCGCGATTCTGTTGGACTACGACCTTATAAGCAGTTGGAAGCAGGGTAGTGAAACCAGCAACAAAACCAATTTTAAATATTGCAATTTAAAACATTTAAATATAAAGTAGATACGCAGTGCAGATAGTAAGTCATAAACTTCACATGTGAAGAGTCGGGTTCGATCCCTGCGACCCTCGTTTTTGAGTAATTTTTGCACGTAGCACAGTTGGAAGATCCGAGTTCGAATCTTGAGGGGAACAAAATAAAACCATCTCTTGAAGAGATCAATACCTTACTTTGCACTTGCTGTTTCTACAAAGACATTGCCCAAATTAGAAGTAGTAGTACGTTTACTATCATAAAAATATCATAAACACACAATTCGTTTATTTTAACATTTCAGCTTCCCCGGATCGATGTTATAAACTTTGTACAAGTTTTAGTGTAGACTGACCGATTCTGTATGGAAATATAAGCCATCAGAACAAGATTATTATCAAGGTGTAACATTTACAAAACAACTCATTCGCGAAACAACTCATTCGCGGAAGACTCGCAAACCATTTACGTTAAACGAAACAGGAAAAAAACACTTGGCGAACACCTGGCGGACGATTTCCGACTATGCGGCCAGCTTCGAATGGCGTAAACGATCCGCTAACGTTGCACTTTTTGCGATGTACAAAAAAGAAGTTGGAGACAAGGGCCTCTGACGTAGAAATCCATCCACAGCAGCAGTGACAGACATGCATAGCAAGAGCGTACTTTGGGAGTTCTGCAGCCACTGGGCAGACACCCCCCCACCCGCGCACAGCACTGCCAGCAGCAGCGGCAGCAGCACCAGGTGACGGCAGCGTGTGTGTGTGGGATGGCACACACGGCTGCCCCACATGCCGTGTGCTGGGGTTGTTCTCAGCATGGTGCGCGGGCAGATGGGCACATGGGGAGGACGCTGAGTGCCGGACCCAAACCATACAACGAGCAATGCTGCGCCTGCTGCTGCCACGAAACCACCGTACGACCCGTCAGCAAGGCTGGCAACGGCGGCAAGCAGTCCTCCTGAGGTGGCCGGGTGGTTGGCAGTGCGTGAGAAGCGAGAGGGAGGGGAGGACGGGAGGAGGACGCGTGTGTATGGAGGGAAAGTGTAACGTCTGCGCACGGAATCACCCTAGAGTGTAAAAACGCATTCCGCTGCGCCTCTGGGTAACCTCGTTTTGACCCAGTGGGTAGCGAGGCGTTATAGAAAGGGAAGGCGCAAGGGGCTGGGGGGAGAGCGTTCGACGTGAGCGCAAGCACAGCAAGGGCGGCATAACGGGCGCTTGACATTGGGGCGAAGACAGAATGGGGGAGGGGGAGAGGCCGGGAGGGAGGAGGACAGGGTTGCACCGACTGCGGGCTGCGGACACACTCAAGAGTCAAGACGCTGCTGGCTGTGATGGGCCCCTGCTCGCGGCCCCGATCGGAAAGGAGGGCGAGTGCAGCTACGGCGGAGGAAGAGGAGCACGCGCGAGAGGAAGGACGGTTCAACACGAGAACAGACAGCGGGGTGATGGCGCCAGGGGTAGGGCACACACAGCACATGCGACACGTTGCGGGGTTGGCGCAACAGCGCGCCTAAACATAGGCCCGCCGTGACGCGGCATGGACCATGGCAGGCCTCCCCGCAGCACGTGCCTACGGTAAGACAGGTAAAGTGTCCATCGTGACGTGGGTGACGTGGATTTAGTCCCGGCTCGGAGCCATCGTGCTCCGCCGGGTGACCTCTCCTCCCTCCTCCTCAGCTTCACCGCAACGCGTGGGAGCAAGCAGTGTGCTCCTCGCCGTGGCCGCGACGATTCGGTGTACTCCGTCGCGCTGCGGGCAGAAACATACGAGAAGACTTGGCACACCCACCAGCGAGAGAGCGCGTGCAGATCTACGAGTCGCGGAGTTGTAGTACTTCTAGTTGCCGTGCGGCTCCCAGTGGCATGTTGCCACGCTTTTCCTCACACAGGTCGACCGCCACTCGAGCTGGGCGCTAGCACCACTGATTGTGATTACAAGACGAGTGGCTGGGCTGGAGTTGATTCTAAGTCAAACTGCGATGCTGCCTTGCTGCGCGTTGAGTCTGTCTACTAACTGCGGAAAGAAAGCGGAGTTTGTCCGACAGAGTTTGTACACTGCGTATGTCGAGTCGGGGAAGTGGGCATGGCCGTGAGTCGCAAATATCCACCAGAGCAGTACTGTACAGAGGTCGGTGCAGTGGCGGAACATGTCAGGGGGTGTCTGAAGAAGAGCGTAAGGTTTCGGAACGGCGCAAAACCGAGAGTTTATGCTCTCTAACCCTTCTAATACAACGAATATCATGCTGTACAGGTCAGACTCGACTAGTGCAACGACCCATAAGGCCAATATTCGCACCACGCAATGATTCGGTATGCTCAACTCCCACGTACGCAGCCTGAATGGTGTTCCACCAATAATTGTATACGCGTACTGAATAAAAGTCGCATAGGCGATAATTCGCTGAAATATGGTCAACCGAATCATTGTAACCGAATCTTCTGCTGTGTGCTTTTCCTATGCGTGGTGTGTCCGTTGTAATGTGGAGTCTCGGTTATGCAGCGTGACCTTGGGGGCTTACCTTGTTTCGAGTCGAACAATAAAGGGTATCTTTGGGTTTTGTGTTTGTGTCCCTTATTTCTGATCTGTTGAGTCGTTTCGGTAATGTGATTTGCAACAAACCCATATAACGTCGCACTAACATGTGCGAGAAATTTTGCGACTTGTCGCTGCAGAATACGACAGGGGCATCAGGGGACCAGACAGAGCAGCAGCCCGCGCAGCAGTAGCAGACGCCAGCCGCTCGCACAGGCCGCATAGGGGCACCCGCCCGCATTCCCGACCTCACTTGCAGGGCACCGCGAGATGCATTGATGGTGATTGTAGACGTCTCGGTGGCAGACCCACAGCGGGAGGGGAATGCGCAGTTCAGATTGGCGGCGCAGCAGCTAGGCGGGTGCAGGACAAGCTGCGACACTGGAGGCCGGTGTTACAGGGGTTGCAGCCGGATCCAGAGTTCTACGCCTGCGTAGTGGAGACTTTTGGGTGCCTGAGTGAACCACTGCGGCAGTTCCTAGGGCTGTGTGCATCTCGGACAGCACGGCGGAGGAGAGATTCAGGGGCAGGGGATGACGGGTCGGCACGGATATTTGAGACGAGCCTCACTACGCGTCTCTCCGTGGCACTGCAGCGCGCGCAGGCAAATGTGATCATGCAGCATGCAGTGCGGCAGCTAGGTGGCTCCGACAATGGATGGATGCCAGCACCTGTACCTTTGGGCGCTAGGCAGGGGAGTTGGCACCACATAACAGGGTGCTTCGAGAGTGCAGCAGATATGCGGTATATGTATGATGCATATGTGTAAAAAAAAAAAAAAAAAAAAAAAAAAAAAAAACATATATAGGCCGTGTTTGAGACGCTGTGCCCGCGCTGTACGCGTGGGCTGTTGTTTTGTTAGGTCCCAGGATGTCCCTTTGATATAGTCACACCCCCCCCTCCCCTCTTCCCTTCTTCTCTTTCTCTCCTCTTTCTCGCTCTCTTCTCCCCCACTCTTTCTGCTACCTTCTTCCTTCCATTATCTCCTCTCCCTTTCCTTCTCTATCTCTTCTCTCTCTCTTTTTCTCTTCTATACCTCTAAACGCTACTATGTCATAATAGGGCAACGCTCATGCTGAAAATCTCATCTTTGGCTTTAGAATTGCTATATGACTTGTAACCCTCTTCATTTTTAATGAGAACACTGTACAGTGGTCGGTGCAGTGGCGGAACATGTCAGGGGGTGTCTGAAGAAGAGCGTAAGGTTTCGGAACGGCGCAAAACCGAGAGTTTATGCTCTCTAACCCTTCTAATAAAACGAATATCATGCTGTACAGGTCAGACTCGACTAGTGCAACGACCCATAAGGCCAATATTCGCACCACGCAATGATTCGGTATTCTCAACTCCCACATACGCAACCTGAACGGTGTTCCACCAATAATTGTATACGCGTGCTGAATAAAAGTCGCATAGGCGATAATTCGCTGAAATATGGTCAACCGAATCATTGTAACCGAATCTTCTGCTGTGTGCTTTTCCTATGCGTGGTGTGTCCGTTGTAATGTGGAGTCTCGGTTATGCAGCGTGACATTGGGGGCTTACCTTGTTTCAAGTCGAGCAATAAAGGGTATCTTTGGGTTTTGTGTTTGTGTCCCTTATTTCTGATATGTTGAGTCGTTTCGGTAATGTGATTTGCAACAAACCCATATAACGTCGCACTAACATGTGCGAGAAATTTTGCGACTTGTCGCTGTAGAATACGACAGGGGCACCGACCATATACCGTATACTACAGACAGCGCCGCAACTCACTTAGTGCAAAAATGCATGTGTGGCACAACCCCTCCCAAACAAAGCAAATTCCAACAATTTGGGAGCTTGCACTGTTTGAATATGACATGTACCTTCCTTCAGACACCCCCTTAGGTTTCCTGACAGTGTCAACATCAAATACATTCAGATCAGTCGGGAACGGCATTCAGGTGTCTTCATTCTCGAACCGCTGCTAGTACAGTAAACGGTTTCCATTGGGGAAATGCCAATTCGCTGGTGAATTGCTGACACACTAGCGACTTGTTTGCGAGCTGGGCTGTAATGGGAAATTAATTCAAAACGACTAGGCTAGACTACGAAGTGATCGATTGAGGCAAAGGAAAAAAAGCTAATACCCATTGGGCATTGACAAAGACATCGGGAGGCATCAACCCTAAACACGGGAACCCATACGCGAGTTTAGGGTTTACCCGTCCCAAAAGGCATGTAGGTTTTCTGTAAGGGTTTATTTTTTAGAGTACTCTGTTTCGTTAGGAAAGTTTGCCCTAATAATCGCCGACAGGAACGACAAAAATGAAGACACCTGAATAGGCTTTCCCCACTGATCTGAATGTAGTTGATGTTGACACGTTCCTGACACCGAAATCCCCGTTTCACCAAACCCTAGCACTTGACAGACCGAGACAATTGTACGTACACTGTGGCGTAACTCGATGTGTTATGATTTAGAAGATGTCAATGCACTATAACGTGAGAATACAAGGTCGCTATTGCAATGAAAACACGAGGTTATATAGGAGGAGACGTAATAGGGCGATAACCTCGGGACGTGGATAGGTTCGGCAATAGGGCGACAGTGTCGGCCGCGACTCGGGAAAGGGTTGGGCCGAAAACGAAGGCCGAACGTGACGAGTCGAGATGTTCGGGTGTACGCGGTAGCGGTTGACGCAGTAAGGAATGGAAATTCCTTACACTACCCCCCCTCTCCTAAACGAGTCCTCGCGCATCGGAGACATGTCGACGCTGATAATACGCCGTTAGAATCGGATGTGATTCTAGGTTAGTGAGAGGCACCCAGCTGTCGTCTTCGGACGTACGATCGCGCCAGCGGACGAGGAAATCAACCATCGGACGGTTCAGCTGCGTTGTGACGCGATGTCCCAGAATTTTCAAAGGCTCGGTCGTTGGTTCTTGCAAAGGCGTTAGCTGCGGTACACCGCGGTTGCGTGCCAAGTTCGACGAACTCGGGACGTAGGGTCGGAGAAGACTGACGTGGAAGGCCGGATGGTGGCGCCAATCAGCCGGTAGTCGAAGGTGAACGGTGACAGGTGTCACCAAGGTGGTCACTTGAAAAGGTCCGCAGAATCTGGGTCGGAGTTTGCTCGGGATCGGCAGCCGCAAATTGCGAGTGTCGAGGAGGACGAGATCTCCCACTTTGTAAGTGACGTCACGGGGATGACGATCGGCTTGTCGGCTTGCGACCAGGTTGGCTTTCCTGATTGCCTCGGCTGCTTTTTCTCGGGCGGTGAGGATATCTTTAGCAAATTTCTGGGATCGGGGTACGGGTGTCTCGATGTTCGGGGTGGAGGGTACCACGGGGTCCTGTCCGTAATTTAGGAAAAACGGGGACTGATGGGTTGTGGCGGAGGATGCGTTGTTATACGCAAACTCCAGCAGTGGAAGGGATTTCTCCCATGTCTGTGGGTTAATACAGGTAGTCCGAATGAGTTGTTCCATGGTTTGGTTGACTCGTTTGGTCTGCCCGTCGGTCTGTGGGTGGCAGGCGGAGGAAAACTGTAGTTTGGTACCGAATTGGTCCTATACGTGGCGCCAGAAATTCGATGTGAATTTCGGGTCTCGGTCCGAAATGATGGCGGAGGGCAGTCCGTGCAGTCGGATGACGTTCGCGATGAACAGCTGCGCAATTTGTTCGGCTGTGATTGTCTGTTGGCAGGCGATGAAGTGCGCCATTTTTGTGAGTCGGTCGACGACCACGAGGATGGCGTCGTTTCCGCTGGGACCGGCCGGCAGTCCTGTCACGTAGTCCATCGTGACGTGTTGCCAGGGTCGCTCGGGCGGATCCAACGGCTGTAGTAGTCCGGCTGCTCGCTGATGCGACGATTTCATGATCTGGCAGGCAGTGCAGGAGGACACGTACTTGCGCACGTCATCGGCCATGTTCGGCCAGTAATAATTCCGCTGCAGCATCTTCGTGGTTTTATCGACGCCGAAATGCCCGGAGGTAGGGTTGTCGTGGGATTCCTGGATTAGGAGGGTATGGAGTAAATCGTAGCCGGGCACCCAGAGGCGGGAAGTACCGCGCTTATTAAAATAAGGGCCGTTGGCGGTGGTATGCTGTTGATGGATAGCGGAGCGGAAGAAGGGATCGATCTTATAGCCGTGGGTGAATAGTCCCGTAAGTAATGGGTTGGTCTGGGTGACTAGTATAGCGGCAGTATGGGCAGTGGGGCGAGTCAGGGCGTCGGCAATATTATTTGCCCCTCGTTTGTAGGTGATGGTGTAGTGGAAATTCGACTCGAGGAAATCGAGCCATCGGATTTAGGGTTGAGGTTCGGTTGGGCGCGCAGGTACTGTAGGGATTTGTGGTCAGTTCGCACTGTGACGTCAGCGCCTGTCAGGTAGCACCGCCAGGTTTTGAACGCGTGGACGATCACCAGCATTTCCTTGTCGTGGACTGTATAGTTTTTTTCCGCGCCCTGCAGCTTCCGTGATTCGTAGGCGACTGGCTGTAACCCGTCGCCGAAGTCCTGTAGGAGAACTGCACCGATGGCGATGTCGCTGGCGTCGGTGACGACTTCGTATGGACGGTCGGGATCGGAGATGCGGAGGACGGGCGGCGACGTGAGGGCGATTTTGAGTTG